GGGGGGGACCTGGACCTGGGGGGGGTTCTTGGGCCCAGGGTGGGGGTCCAGCACAGGGGGGATCTTGGCCTGGGGTAGGGGGGAGCTGACCCTGGGGCTCTCCTGGGGAGACACAGTCCCGCTGGGAGCTGTATGGCCGCAGCCCTCCCCACCATGGGGAGTGAGGTGCAGGCCCTGGCCCTACTCTGGGGGGTGCTTGGCCCCCAGGGGAGGAAGGGGAGGTGCTGGCAAGTCTCCCCCAGCCCTTAAGGAGCACCAAGCTTTGCCGGGGCCCGGCCCGGCTCTCCTGGGAAAGACAGCAGCTGCCTTCAGAGGCCAGAGAGCCAAGGCCACCGGGGCAGGGCTGGGGCAGGCTGCAGGAGCCTGCAGGGTGGTGGACCCCCCCGGGCTGACCTCCTGGGGAAGGTCTGGGGACAGGCACCACAGCAGGGATTCCTTGTTTTTTGGGACTCCCAGCTCGGCTCTGCATCTGAAGGCCGGAGCTAGTGGGCTGCTGACAGCCCCAGCATGCTCGCCTGAAGCCGGCTTGATGGAAACTTACGATTGGTGTTCATGAAATAAACACTTTCTAAGAGAAATTGTAGCTGGTGGTGAGTGAGGGCTGCCCATGCCCCGTGTTGGGGAGCTGCCATCCCCCACAAGGGGTCTCTGGGATCCGCTTACACCTCGCAGATCTCTTGTTGGCGTTTTTATGGATTCAGGCATGTTCTCAGCCTTACCTGTGGCAGGAGGTGTTGGCACTGGCTGAAAGAGTTGTTTCTTTCACTGAGCAGACCTTTGTTTCCGTGAAAAATGCCATATGGAGCCCGCGGCCTCGCACGCTCCTTGGCTGGGTGACCACTTGGCAAGGTGAGCGTGTCCCTCCCGATAAATGCAGGTGCGGCTCCTTTCCCTTCCAGAGACCTTGGACGACACCAAAGGTACGTCCTGCTCCCTTCTCCTCCCGCGCTCCAGCAGCTCCCCTCTTCCACGTCGCCTTCTCCAGCTTGGCTCAATTTTGCTGAGACGCTGTGCTGGGGCTGAGTCTGGGCGCTGCTCCCCACAGTTACCCGGGATGGACAGGGTTCTCTATGGGTCCCTCTGCTTGGGAGGCTGCGGAGGCTGCTGCCTCACCCCCCCGGGAGCGGGGAGGACTCGTGGAGCTTTGGGCAGTTTGTGGCGTAGACAAATTGTAGCATTACCAAATCATGGCATTGCCAAATCGTCGGGTTACCAATTGCAGGGACTGCGGCATTACAGATGGTAGCGTTTGCAGCTGTAGCGAGGATGCGAGTGGGGAAAGGTGAGGATTTAACTAGAGCAACTGCCCCAGAAGAAAAAGTGAGCCTGGGGGCAGCAAGCCCTTCCCCAGGTCGGGCTGTGGGTGCACCAAAAGCTGGGGTGTTTGCCAGTCCTCTCAGCCCATCTTATCGGGGCTCCCGGCTCAGGGCGCCTGGGTTTGGGCAGGGCTCAGATCCCATCCGCTGGTGAAATATTACCCTGGGGAGCTGAGCGCCAAGGGAAATACTTCCCAAATTCCTTTCCCCGCGGGTGAGAGCCGCTGCGCTGCCTCGGCGGGGGGTCCTGGGGAACTCCAGCCTGGGTAAGGATGGGGCAGGGGCTGTGCTGAGGGGCTGGAGGGGCAGGATAGCCCAGGTGAGGATGCTCCAGACCAGGACGGAGGCGGGCAGGGGTGTCGGGGGGGATCCATCCCTTGCTCTGTGCCAGCATGGCTTCTGTAGGGTCTTTTGAGTCTCCGGTGCAGACCCAGTGAGGGGTGAAAGAGGCACAAGCCAAGGGACCTTGGTGTCCCCTGGCTGCTGCCACCCACCACGGGCCAGGAGAGGTGTCTGGGCTGAGCATGGCGAACAAGGAAGCGACTGCTCTGCGCCACCATGAAATGGCATTTGCTCCTTTGCCAGTGAATTATCCACTCCGGCCTCACGGGCGGTCTGGCCTACCTCCAGGAGGGACAGGCAGGATGAGGCCCCGCGTGAGGCAGGAGCCAGATGGCTGGACAGAGGTGCACCATCCCCCAGTCTGGGTCATTTATGGGAAAACAGACACTTCCCAGTGAAGCCAGTACGGCCAGTGGGAGTACCCTGGTCACCCCATCACCTGTGCCAAATCCCCCTCCCAGCCAGGAGGGCTGAGCCTATCCCTGACGCTCTGCACACAGGATGGCATCCTCGAAGCTGGTGCTGTCGCTGCTGGTTGCAGCTCTCCTGCTGCATGTGGCCACCACGCTGAAGATCGGTGCCTTCAACATCAAGGCTTTTGGGGACAGCAAGATGTCCAACAAGACTATCGCAGATATCATTGTCTCTGTGAGTGCTGGGGGGAGAGGAGCAGTCCTGGCCATGCTCTGGTCTCTGGGATGCAGCCAGCTTGGGGCAGTTGGACACCAGCTTTCTGCAGGCATCCATCCATCTGTGTGTCCATTCATGCATCCACCCACCCATCAACCCGCCTGTCCACACCCCCCCATCCTTCCACCTTTGCCTCCATCCATCCACCCATTCATCCATTCATCCATTCATTCACCCATCTGTCTGTTCATCCGCCTGTCTGTGCCTCCATTCATACATGCTTCCATCCACATCTCCATCTATCTGTCCAAGCCTCCAGCTATCCACCCATCTGCTCTTCCCCCACCACCATCTCCAACCTTGGGCCATCTCCACTCTTGCTGGTCCCCAACCAAGGATGGGCGATGCTTGGAACTGCCCAGGTTCCTCACTCAGAGCAGCCTGGGAGCAAGGAGCTGCTGGGATGATGGGTGGTAGATAGACAGGTATTAGAGGGCACTGTGTCACCCCACGGTTCTTCCAAGCCAGACGACACCAGCAGAAGAGCTCCCTCCCTGGCTGTGGGATCCCTGCTGCCCTCCCATTGCCAGCCTGGGAGCCCTCACAGCCCAGCCCAAGCACCCATGGGTGCCCCCACAAGCAGCTCCCGCCCAGGGGCGAGCAGCTCTGAACTTTTCCCCCCAGATCCTGTCGGAGTACGACATCACCCTGGTGCAGGAGGTCCGGGATGCTGACCTAAGTGGCGTAAAGAAGCTCATGGACCAGCTCAACAGGTGACCCCAATGGCCCAGGGCGGGAGGTGCCTGCAAAGGGACGCTGGGGCAGATCCCAGCTAGCATCTCGCCATGCTGGAACACCTCCGGCTCGGCCAGAGAGAGCCTGATGGGTGCTGGGGGGCACCAGGAGCCTCTTCTCACCCTCTCCACATCTCGCTCCCAGCGCATCCCCACACCCATACAGCTTTTTGGACAGCATCCCCCTGGGTCGGACCACCTACAAGGAGCAGTACCTCTTTGTCTACAGGTAAGGGATGCTGCCAGGGCTTGGCGACCCCCATGTCACCCACTGTCCCCCCCAGCAGCCCCCAAAGGGTGGTGGGTACCATTTGGGGGCCCTGGCTGTGCCAGGAGCAGTGGTGGGGGCTGCCCTGCTCTTCTCCCTCAGGTCGGACATGGTCTCTGTGCTGGGAAGCTACTACTATGATGACGGCTGTGAGTCCTGCGGGACTGATACCTTCAGCAGGGAGCCCTTCATTGTGAAGTTCTCCTCACCCACCACGCGTGAGCAGAGCCGGTGTTGGGGGCTGCCTGGACCTGGCACAGGGTCCCCTCCACGCAGGGCTGACCCCGGAGCTGTGCCTGCCAGGCAGGGAGGTTGCACCCTGGAGCCCAGCTCAGGGGTTCCACCAGAGTTCTGCCCTGCTGTTGGGCCTTCTCCCACCCATGGGTGACCAGGGGTCCTGGGTACTTGCCCAGCATGGCCGGTACTGCCTGCTGTTTCCCACAATGTGCCATCTCTCACCATCTCCCATCACCTTCCATCTCCTGTCATCTCCCACCATGCGTCCTCTCCAGTTGTGTGCCATCTCACATCTCCAGTTGTTTTCCATCATCTCCCACATCCCATCACCTGCTACCTCCCATCTTGTATTATATCCCACCATCTGCTTCCTCCAGTTGGATGCCATCTCTCCTCATGTACCATCTCCCATCACGTGCCATACCCATCGCCTGCCATCCCCCATTGCCTGCCATCTCCCATCATATGCCATCTCCCATCACATGCCATTTCCCATCTTGTGCCATCTCCTGCCCCATGCCATCATCTCCACTTCCCAAGAACCTCCCCAGGGCACACACCCTCTCCCATCTCTCTCCCACCCCCATCTCCTTCCCAAAACCATGTTGGCTTGGAAAAACTGATGGGAAGCAAGCAGCAAACCCCAAACCATGTGTGAAGGGATGCAGGTCCCCACTGGAAGCCCTGGCCTGGAGGACAGGCAGACCACAAAAAGCCAATGCACCCCTTCCCTTGGGCAGCTTTTCCCAGCCGTTAGCTGCGACTTGGCCCGGGGTCGTCCCTCAGGGTTCGTGCTCCCTTCCCGGGTGCTGCACCCGAGCTGGGGGCTGATGGCTGTCTGTCTGGCAGAGGTGGAGGAGTTCGTGATGGTGCCCCTGCATGCTGAGCCCAGCAGTGCAGCGGAAGAGATCGACGCACTCTACGATGTCTACACTGATGTTGTCAACAAGTGGGCGACTAACGTAAGCGGCAGCGGGGAGCTTGGCTCCTCCCTGGGGCAGCCGGGCGGGCTGGGGTACAGCCATCACACATCCCAGCAGCCATCCTGGGATGGATGTGTCCCATGGGAGACCTCTTGTACCCATTGGAGTGGGTGCCACCCTGGCAATGTCTATACAGGGAGCTGCTGGGTGGCTCCACTGCCGTTACTGGGGGCTTGTCCTCCCATGCTGAAGAGACCCAAGGTGGGTCTGGTAAGATTTTAGGGAGCCCTTGCTGCCCTGTAAGGTCTGTGGGCAGTGACACAGCATGCTGCCCCACAGAACATCCTCTTCCTGGGCGACTTCAACGCCGACTGCTCCTATGTGACCAGCAGCCAGTGGCCGTCCGTCCGCCTGCGCTCCCTCGACGCCTGCGAGTGGCTCATTCCCGACAGTGCCGACACCACCGTCGCCGACACCGACTGTGCCTATGACCGGTGGGTGCCACGGCAGTGGCGCGGGGGCTGCTGCGGGGGAGACTGGTGGGCACTAACATCCCCCATGACACTCTGGCAGCATCGTCGCCTGCGGCATCGCGCTGCGCCAAGACATCGAGCCTGGCTCTGCCACCGTCAACAACTTCAAGAAGACTTTCCACCTCCAGATGAAGGATGTGAGTGAGGGGCTGGGGCACATGAGGCCACCGGCACGGGGATCCAACCCACCACACCTCCCAGGAGCACGGCTGGGCTCCCTGCTGCCCAGGGTGCACCCGAGGGTGGCCTGACCCTGAGTTGATGCAAACCCCCAGCCTGAGCGTTTTGGGGTCTGGTTTAAATTTGGAGGTTGGAGTGGAGCATTTGGGTCCCAGCTGGCCACGAGAGTGGTGGTGGGTCCAGACAAGCTCAGCCACCTCTCTGTTTTCCACCCCACACTCAGGCTTTGGCCGTCAGCGACCATTTCCCGGTGGAGGTGACCCTGAAAGCCCGCTGAGCTTGTCCCTGCACTGGTGGCTACCAGGATGCCACAGCACGCATCTGCATCCCTCGTGGGAGCCCGTGCACCACCAGTGCCAGCCGAGCTGCCCACCGACTCTGCGAGGATGCGCTCTTTGGGGTCTTGTGGGAGTGGGATGCTCTCTGCTTCCATTAAAAAATGAGCCTTTTCCAGCCCTTGCAGCTCTGGAGGGAAGGCCCCTTCAGCCCCCCCCAGCAGCTCCCAGCACCCGAGCCCCCCGTCCCCCTGCCAGGGGCAGCCCCAGCGGGGCTGGAGCCAGGGAGGTCTCCTGCCATCGAGAGCCCCGGACTCGCAGGGTGGCAAGCGCTGCTCCCCTTTGAGCTGCCGGCACCAAAAACAGGGACACTGGGAAGGGTTTGGGAGGCTCCGGGCAGGGTTCGGCCACCTTGTCAGGTTGCAAGATGCTCTTCATGCAGGGGCTGCATCCTGCTGGAGCCCGCCTGGCTGCAGGGCGGCTGACGGGGCACTGACGGTGAGGGTGGGGGGAGGCAGAGGATGTGAGTCAGCTCCCGGAGGCGTTTGCTGCCTCCCAGGGGGGTTTCGGTGCTTGCATAGTGCCGGGGGACACTGGACTCATCCCGTGACTGGGTGTGAGGATGCAAAACCCGGCAGTGCACATGATAGCCCGGCAAGCCCCAGCACGAGCAGCCGTCGCCGCCTCACCTGCCCCACCATCGGCATCCCC